GAAGTCTAAACCCCCTACAGAAAGGATTAAATTCAAACCCCCGTCTTCACATCTTTCTTCAGGACTTTGTGCTGATCCTTGGTGTACTACAACTGTGATTTCAAACTCTTTTGTCCCTCCCTGTTGTGTTACCACCTTTGTAGTTGCATCTCTATAGGTTGCTTGAACTAACTAACCTTTCTGGTACTCCTTTCTTCCTCAAGCACCAATACACCACCTCTCTGGGCACACGGTTATATGCCTTCTCCAAGTCCAGAAAGGCATAAAAACAAAACAAGCTACATGTAACTCAAAATCTCCAGAAAAAAATGTATTCTTATATTTCTTTCTACTCTTGTTTTTATTTATTTAATTGAACTAATCATTCAAATAGGAAGTTATGTGTAAATTAGTTGTGAAACCAACAGGATTCTGGGCCTTGAGACCTGCATTTTTCTATACTTCTAATAAAATTCTTCGAAATGCTATACAGAGTTTAAATCATCACTTCATATTGATGTCTCATCGTCAACTAATTTAGACAAAGGTTTTAAATACCATATTTTTCCCTCTTTTATCTGGCACTTACAGTACTGCCGAGCTTTGAAGTTAAGTTGGAGCCACAACAACCATTTTTCTACATTGATGGCAAAGAACTTTCTGTCAAAATAACTGCCAGGTAGGGTGTGTTCTTCTGGAGATTTTTGTTTTGTTAATTGTATACTTGGGTCTTGAATGCTGATTTTAGTTTTCTAGGATCTAGCATATTGCTTGAACTAAACCAAACAGTACATAATTGAATAACATATTATAGATATCTACACCTGAACATTACATTTTTTGTTACATTAAATCTTGCAGTCATGTCACTTTGAAATAGCTGTTACATACAGTACATACAACACACATTTGAAGCAAAAAAGAAAGAAACAAAATAGCTAATAAATTTGAAAGAAATGTGGAAAAGTCAAGATTGCATTCAAACCCAAATATTCAAATCCTTTGCCGTGGAAAACCTAAATTAACTTAAGTGCAGAAAATTACCATAACAAACCACACAAGTAGCTGATTAGCTGATTAACCGCTGTCCCCGATTTTGATTATGATTTTATCATAAAACATTTTCTGTAAATTTTTCTTGGTCAGGAGTGAATTTAACTTTTCTAAGCATGTTAGGGATAGAGTCATTTAAAAATACTGATCGGGGGAATGGTACAAATATATTAAAGTCTCTGAATATCTCTATAATCATAGTCTTTTTAATTATCAAGAAATAAAATGTGCATCTTACTGCCTAGAATTTGTTAAATCAAGACTTTTAAGAACTTGGAAAAATTTCATTGTGATTTATTGTGCATGAAGAGTATTACACTAGGAACATTATTAATTGTGGGGAAAACAAAGTGTCAGATATCCAGGGACTATTTTCCCTAAATTTTACAATGCTTACTCTAAGACAGAACATATGGTATATGATAACAGATTGATTTGTCTGATTACAGAATATTTTATAGACTTCTGAGGAAGTGTACTTTTTATATGCTCTCCCTTGTTCCCAATAGATTCTTGTATGGAAGCAATGTTGTGGGGTCTGCATATGTGGTATTTGGGGTTGTCTTAGACAAGGATGAAAAGAAGAGCTTCCCAGACTCCCTACAACGAGTAGAAGTAAGAATCAAGCACCACTTAAGAAGAGGCATATTACAGAGTGATACTACAGAGAAATAAAAAAACAGGAAAACATTGGCATACCAAGTAAAATTCAAGAAGACATTCTTCATTACGTAGTTCTCTAAAATCACACAAACAATTCCTGTGTTTTAATTAATCTGCAGGGCTAAACATGCTTATGTAAGAAAACTAGGCATTTACAGTACAAGAATACAAGCAGTTTCAGCTGCTGTTGTTACAGTTGTGTCTCTTTTGTATATCTGCATCACTTGTTGTTTCAATTGACACAGTTGATGCCATTACAGTTGTCAGTTTTTTTATGCCACCATTGCAGAAGTTGCTACAATTAATTCAGTAGTGGGGCTATTGTAGCTGTGTGACAAAATTGTAGCTGTGTCACAAAAATTCTCTGCTTTTACTGTGTTACATCCCACTGTGTGTTCTGTATGTGTTTTTTCTGTTATGTCCACACTGCTGACCCTTGATTGTTCTCCCTTCCCCATTGGCCCACCATTACACCACACTTTCAGTATGAGGTCATCATCAATTAGCTCTCAGCCAATCAGAACACATCTTATTCAGTATATAACATGGAGGTTTTCAGCAAAGAGAGGCCTTTTGTTTGACTTTGGTCCTGTTTGATTTTGGTTATTGCTTCTGGTTATTGCTTCAGCTTCAAATGTTGGTTTGTTTTGCTTTGTGTGTGTTTGTGTATTTTTGTATAGCTTTGGCTTTGTTGTTTTGTTGGTTTTTTGTTAGTTTCTTTGTACTTTAGTTTGTTTGTGTGTTCATCCTTGTTTTGCCATTACCTTGCCTCAGTGTTACATGTTCAACTTTTGTGTTCTTTTGTACCCTGCTCCTGTTGATTACTCTTGTTTTCCCTTATTGGTATTCCTGGTTCACTTGTGTTTTTGTTTGAACTTTTGTATATAAGGTTAGTTTAGGTTGTTGGGTACACTTAACACACTTAGTTGATTTTGTGTTAGTACACTAGTTCAGTACGGGTGAGTGCCATTTGTCTTGTATGGTTTTGGGTAGTCAGTGCAGGTTAGCTAGGGTGTTGAAGACGCCGAAGACCTTGTGTTTCGGGTTTTCTTCTGTAGTCGGATTAGCTTTCCCTCACTGTCCTAGCCAGCTCCATTTTGTTTATTTTCTTTCCTTTGGCACCACTCTAGTTCCTTACCCTTGTTATCACGCTTCCTAGTCCCTCACCAAAACCCACCTGCTTCCAAAAGAATTATCCTAAATGTTACACCCCTTTACCCCTAGACACTTGGGGTCGTAACATACTGTTTTTCTAGTGCACTCAATTTGATTTAGGAGCACCTGACCTTTTACAGCCAGTGTGTTTCTTAAATTTTAATTTGCTTAATGTTGGAATTTATAATAAATACATTGTATATTTAATCCACTTTGATTATTTTTTAAATTCAGCCTGTTTTGTGTATTTCAGATTATTGATGGAAAGGGAACAGCCACGTTAAGAAGAGAACACATTACAAAAATATTCCCAAAAATACAGGAGGTTCATAAAAAATCTATCTATGTATCTGCAACTGTTTTAACAGCAACTGGTAAGTACTTTCTTATAAGAGTGTTAAGATCATTACTCTTTCTCTTACATCTGAATACAAGCAGCAGTGTGTTAAAAATGCTGAAGACAAATGAAATAAAAAAGTATTAAGCAATGTGCCTACATTTATTTTTAAACAGTCATTTGTTTAAAATGTTGTTTGAAACTGTTTTCTGAATTTGTATTTGTTTAAAAAATTAAGTGAGCATATATTAATATCACTATTAAAGGAATCACTATTTTTGCCATTCCTATAAGTTGCTATTTTACCATGTACATGGGGAATATGTACCAGCTAAGTAGGAAATACAGATTTATGCATAATTCGGACTTGCTGCTAATGAAACATTGGGATACAAAGGCAGACTTGAAATGCAGAGGTTAGAACAAGTTCAAGTATGATCAAGTGTGGAATTATTAAAATGGAAAAAAAGCACTTAGTGTAAGTAGGTAGGTCCCCTTTTCAGGCCATAAAGGCCCATGGGGGAATGGGGGGCAAGGGCCACCATTTTCCCTCAACCATCAGACATTGGAAGTGGAGGTGATGTGGTCCGCATCACGCTCAGGCTGGCCTATTACCCCTGGAAGTATTTACCCCCAGGTACTCATTTGGAAAACAGGCTGAGTGGGCCTGGGAGCTGTCTAGAAGGAGTTAGAGCAAGCTACATCACTTGCCCCTACCTGGGATTGAGCCCAGGACCTTCTAGTCAGGAGCTGTCTGAGCTACCAAGTGTAAGGAGACTGAAATGTAATAATGATATTTATGGCTTGTGATGCTGCATGGGGCAGCTCACAGCAGGGACACAATGTGGTTCCCCAAAGACACAACACAATTCAATTCTGAAATCCAATGTGAACTTGACAGTGATATATTTATATTGCCAGCTTTTGATCCAGTATGGCAGTAACACCATTACTGTTATATTATTCTAGTATAGTATTTTAGCTAAGTGGCTTGTAGTATATTGTAGCAGCTTGAATTGTAGTGCAACAGTTCCTGGTGTAGTAAAGTGGTTTGTGTGATTATACAGCAGTTTATATTCACCCCATTGATTTATACTGTAATTCAGCAGGTCCTGGTATAGCAGAATGACCTGTGCGGTAGCAAGAAGGCTTGTGTGGCTTCCCTACTTTTAAGCTTGTTTTCTGCTGACCTACCTTTTTGCTGGCTTTAGTCTCTCTCCATCCTCTATTCTTGTTCAGTGACCCATTTATCAGAACTGGAGCAGGGGGCACAACTGCTTGGGCTCCAGTAATTACTGGCAGCTTCAATCATAATTTTAGACAATAGAAAAAAACTCCCATACACAATGAGATGATTCAGAGACATACAACTCCTAGAGGTTCTGCCCTTGGTGACATCACAAACTGTACACTGTACATACTTTTGGTTTTAAGTTAATGCATGCTACAATGCCACACTGTCATCAAGCTAGGCAGTTCCTAGCTGTTGTATTGTTTTAATGTAAATATCAAACATTCATTCTTATTATTACATTTACATCTGTATATACAAATGGAAAAAAATCATGAAATGAAAAAAGAAATGACTTCACTCTATAAGGGGGGGGGGCGTTATCACAAAGTATAATAAGGATGCAGATGGCTGAAAATGTTTTGAGTCAATCTTTTTTGATTTGAGAACATTGCGGTTGATCATGAAGCCACTAAGATCACAAAAAGCAACATCAGCATGAGTGAAATGGCGTCCTTTCATTTTTCATGTTTTGTTTTAGTGCATTTTCTGTGGAAACTGAGAGGTGTTAATTGTATTGGTTTGAATACTAAATCATTACAATTTTAATACAATTTAATTTCATATAACATTACCTTCACTTTCAGGCGGTGATATGGTGGAGGCAGAGAAGAGAGGCATCCAAATTGTTCAGTCTCCTTACACCATTCATTTTACGAAGACCCCCAAATACTTCAAGCCTGGAATGCCATTTAATTTCATGGTAATTTTACACATTCAGCATTTTTTTATGTTTTATGATTGCTTTTTTATAGATCACATATAATACATTATCAAATATTCCTATTATATATTTATGGCACTTGGCAGTTAAAATAACACTAATACTCCTACTAGTCATTTTCATCTGGAATATTCTGAAAGAAGGTGCATCACTGTGAGAACCTATATTTGATAATTGTTGATTTATTGTGAAAATAAATGATGATAAAATAGAGAATGATGAAAGAATACAAAATTTATAAAATTAAAATTATATATACATTTTATATACATCCTATATTCTAAGTGGAGCCCTTTACTTAATGATACATATAAGAGTGTTCTGCAGTTTTTGATGTCTGCTTTTGATCCGTAGATCATAACCAAGAATCCTGTCATTTGATTTGATATTTAAGGTTTTGGTGACCAATCCTGATGGCTCACCAGCCAGTAAGATCCCTGTTAAGATAACTCCTGGAGAAACCTCTGGCAAAACCCATGACCATGGGACAGCACAGATGACTATAAATACACAAGCAGATGCTACTAGTCTACTAATCAGTGTATGTTCTGCATGTTTTTTTTATTTTGTAAAGATAAGAAGCAATAAAATAATATTTTTGTTTTTTGTTGATATTATTAGGACAAAAGAAAGATTACAGAAGAGAGATCTTTCCCATTTTGTGGTAACTTAATCATTCAAGAATCCGCAGTGTCAGCTTTGAAAGAGAGACTGGGATTTGTGCCCCACATGTGCATAACATTCTATAAAAAAAACAAAACTCTGGTTTTCTTTTCTGAATGCTACTAAATGGACTGTACAATTAATACTTGTGTTGCACAGTCCTTGTTTAGTTGAAGATAGATTGATTGGCTAAGCATTCTTCTTAGGATTCTGAATACCTGAATCAAATGTTTAATTTTTTTCAGCGGTCCTGTGTGAAAAGAACTCAGTTATCTTAATCTGATATTTTTTTTTAATCAAAAATTAGCCCAGGTGTTTTCTTTTATACTATCTCTTTAGAAGGAATATCTTTGTAGCAGTGTAACCAACACTTAACACTACATTTTAGTGTGGGGATCATCACTGAAAATAATATTCAGAATATTGAGTCTACTAAATTTGATACTTTTGACTCCTCTATATTCCTATAATCCTCTATATTTAAATCTTACTCTTGTGTGTCCATATAAATTGTGTATTACAGTTAAAACGTGAAACTAATGATTTCACAAAATCCCTGTGTATTTTTGCTGTGCATGAAATTCCTGCAGAAATGTAGGGGTTTTGTAAAATTCTTAATTCACATTCATATTGTAACATTTTACATTTAAAAAAATCTTCCCTCGGACAGTCTAAATGTAGAAAATTATGAATTCACATAAACTTCTATTTTTGTTTCTTCCAGTTATATAACACCAAATTGATGTTTTAAAATAAACATTTTTGTTCAGTGTACTATACACAACTTTGAAACTTCTATCTTTTCAATGCACTAATATTCCATAGGTTATTGTTATTAATGTACAGCTTGTCTTAAAGCTCTGTTGTGTTCTGCTTTTTAACAGGTGAAAACTAATGTTCCTGGTCTCAGTCAAGACCGCCAGGCTACAAAGAAGCTAGTTATTCAGCCATACAGGACACAAAATAATTCTCTCAACTACCTCCATATTGGAGTCCAGAAATTTGAAAATATAATGAATATTAATCTGAATCTTGGCAAAGACCAAGGAGTTCAGGACCAGATTAAATACTTTTCATATCTGGTACGTATTCAGTACAATAAATTCAAATAGATACACTAACTGCATCAGCATGCATAGGCTGCAAAGGAACAAGTAAAGTTTTATTCCATGCTGAAAAGAGAAGAAAAGAAACACTATGTTTCGTCTGTAGAGTCTTCCTTGAGTGTTTCACCCGAAGAAGACTCCACAACCGAAACTGTTTATTTTCTTTTCGTCAGGGAATAAACCTTTACTTGTTTCTTTTCAGTAGAATAATGTGGCAGAAGGTTTTGTCTCGCTGTGTAAACCATAAAAGTTGATTTGTTCAACTTCCATGTGCTATTTAATTATACATCCCATAAACATACTGTACATACTACTCATACTTCTGAACATTGTTTCTTGGTCCTCTTCTTCCATCTTTTTCAAATGTCACTGAAAATGTACATTCTTCATCTACTTTGCCTAGAAGTCATGGAGCACACCTATTATCTCATTTGGACTAATTTTGATTTTAAGCTTTCCATAGACATCAATTGGGTTAAGGATGTTAAATCTAGCTTTTTGATTCTTTACTGCAAATGATGAATCATGTCTTTGTTGAACTTCAACAGATTGTTAACAAAGGGCAGATTGTTAGAGCTGGGAGGCAGAATAGACTATCTGGACAGTACCTGGTGACACTGTCACTACCTATTGAGAAAGAAATGATTCCCTCCTTCCGGTTTGTGGCATACTATTACCTCAGAAAAGGTGGAAAAATCGAAGTTGTGGCCGATTCGATTTTGGTGGATGGAAAAAGCACATGTATAGGAACAGTATGTATTTTGTCTATAACACTTTAAGTCACATTGCTATAAAGCCATTTTAATTAGTTTGCTAATGAAAAACATAAACCATTAACATTTAAAGTATATTGTCAGTACCCAAAGTGCTGAAATTAGCTCCAGCTTAGCAACAAAAAATATATACAGTATATAGTTTGGTTTCAGATTCATTAAATAATATTATTGACACCTTGATGTGATTTTTTTGTACTTTGATATACAGTTAAGTGCCTTGTAAACATATTGAGCCCCCACCAAAGACATCCCATTTTTCCTAAATAACCAATTATTTATACACAGACTTTTTAAAGTGAATATTTTAATTGGACCCTCAAAATAAAAACCTGTATGGTAAAAGATGTTTTATGTCAGCAAAAGCTTCAAAGACAAATAAAAAGCTTGAACTTATCTTTTGACCTCTGCTATTGCTATTACAGTTATTTGTTTTATTTTTACCCAAAGCTTACTGTGACCCCAACCACTGACAGAGACAAGGGAGTATATGAACCACGCAAGTCCTTTAGTTTTACGCTCACAGGAGACCCAGGAGCGAAGGTTGGGCTTGTTGCTGTTGATAAAGGTGTCTATGTTTTAAACAGCAAAAATAGACTCTCACAATCCAAGGTAAGGATAATCCAGTGAAACACAATAATACAATATTACTACAATTCAATAATTACAATTATGATTTTTTAATACTAGAAAGTTTAAGTAAATTTTGTCTTGGTACAGCATAGCATGGCGTCCGATCAATACAAGTTTGGCATAATGGTATCCTAACAGCCAGTATGGTAGGTTCAGGCAGGCTCTGATCAATTATGCCATTCTGTCAGAAACATATCTTATAGAGAATAATTCAACATTCAACTTTTCTAAATGTGTGCTTATCCTGTCTTAGATCTGGAACATTGTAGAGAAGAATGATATTGGCTGCACAGCAGGAAGTGGAAGTGACAACATGGATGTCTTTTATGATGCCGGCCTTATGTTTGAATCAAACATTCAACTTAGCACGAAATCAAGAACAGGTATTCAGATTTATCATAAACTTTATTTGAAATCATAGCAGGATTAGTATGTTTTGAGTGAACAGGATTTATATATTGCCTATTTGTGATGACACATGTTTTTCTACAGTACATTGGTTTTGAAAAAAATGCTGTCAGCTTCAGCCGTGACTTTTGTTATTCTTTCTCTTGAAAATGGAAATGATCAGGTCTTATATATTTCTATCTTTCTATCTGACAATCTCAGACTGAAGCTTTGAATGGGCTACCTGTTTTGTGTAATTTTGCATTGATAACCTTGTAAGAAATAGGATATTAACAAAATGAAAATTGATGATATCGTTGATTTTTTTTTTACATTTTAATGGTAACACTTTAAAACTATAATGAAATACAATAGCCAAAAGAGATTAACCTAATAAAAGGTTTTTGAGATTCTCAAACGTTCACAGAGTCAAAAAAGGCAGACAGCAGTAGGAAGGGATAGTTAACAATGGAGTGTATACAGTCGATACTGTGTATGTTGAAGGCTGTGACTTCTATTCCTTTTGTATGTGGGATGATGGTGATTGCTAGTATTTTTTTTAATGAAATTGCTCCAGTTAATGTTCTGTTGTATAGGTATTAACTTGTGAAACTGGTATTATTCAGGTTGTTGATGTAAACACAAATTTGTTTTAAATTTAAATGGAAATATCTGCATCATGGAAATCATTTGTCTAAGACAACAGTTAGATTAATGTTTAGAACTTCTGTAATTCTGTTTTCTGCATTTATTTTGTAAAACTGAATTTTTATGGGATATGATAATTTATGTGTCTATCGGTGATTTTTTGTGCTTTGTCTTTCTTATGTAAGACAATAAGACAATTGCCTTTTTAATTCACTTTTCAGTTTGTCCTGCATCAGCTCTTAATTTTGTCTTATGATCACAACATGTTTAAGAAAAAAATGTTGCTCTTAAAAGGTACCTTATTTCTTTGCCAGTATTGTTAATTCAGTATAGCTTTATCCAACTTATTTTGCTGTACTATGCACTCTTAAAGTCACCTTATATACATATTTAAATATTAAATATACAGTATGTATATAATTAAAACATTATGTAGCCAACAATGATTCATTTTTATATATTTATTTTTTATATTTGTACTTTTATTTTAAGTAATGTAATGTACGTTATTGAATGGTTCTCAGGCCATGTAATGTGGATCTGCACTTTATCTGCAAACAGTGTGCTGTTGTCTATGGCTTAATGTTGAAACTATCAAACAGTATACTGTATGCTTGCCTTAGTGAATATAGTAAAAATTACTTATTTTTTGCATATTGTATAACTTGTAAATACCACGCAATAGTATAATAATGCTGTTTAGTGAAAGTCTTCTAGTCTTTGTCTGGTATGAAATACCACAGATGAGTGTGTGTGTGGTGCTTATGTAGATGTTAGCTGCAGTGATGTATGATTTTAGCCAAAAATAAGTATGGAGTTGCACAATGAACATGGAATACATTTTAGAAATCCAAAGCTAAATGTATGTTTTGCAGTCAGCACTTTATTGCAGAGCTGTATTGTTAAAATCACTGGTACCTTTATTGCATACAAACAAACCAAGGTTCTTCTGAGAATTATTTTACATCTTAGATAACATATCCTTTCCATCTGCTGTGTGTAACACATCCAAAATTGTATTCCAGATCCCAAATGTCCAGAGCCTCCACAGAGAAGAAGCCGCTCATTGAACTTGAGTGAGATCAGGACAACTTTGGGTGAGATTTTAATTGAACTTCTGGTGTATCCATAATAGATAGATTAATTATTTTTTAGACAATCCTGTAAGCATTATTGCTAAATCTGCAAATCATGCATTCTTATGAAGCTAAACCAGTCACTATAGTAATACATTATCAACATGTGTTTAACGTAAAATATAATGGTGGATGGAGTTTTATATCTTTGTAATTGTGATTGTAAAATTGTAATTCCTAATTCACACTATGATCTATTGGTGGACTGTGAATTTGTTTAATTAGGAGTTCAGACTGTGATAATATTTCTTTATTCTGATCTAGCAAGCAATTACACGGGACCCCTACGAAAGTGTTGCAGGGATGGAATGGTTGAAAATAGTATGGATTATACCTGTGAAAGGAGGTCCCAATACATAATTGAAAGCAAAGAATGTATTGCTGCTTTCCTGCACTGCTGTACAGAGATTTCCAAAAAGCACAAAGAAAGACAGGAGGAAATGTTAATTCTTGCACGGAGTGAGTTTTTTTTATTTATTTTTGAAAACAATGCACAGGTGAAAAACATCAATTCTTTAATTCTTGTCACAAGTAAAAATATCAATTTTATTTAAACAAGCTATGATCAATAACTCTATATGACTCCACTGATTCAACCATATTGAATAGAAAAAGAATCCAAAAATATTACTTTCCATTTATCCATTTAAATAAAATTGCTGTCTGTGAGTACTGTGCATTTGTTTGACATGACAGGAGCAGCCTGGTCAGATGGTGCCCACATTTCATGCATGTTCTGATTACTGAGACAAACTAAATACATAATTCAGGATATTAAAGAAGTGGTCGAGTTAAAGTGATTGCTCTCCAATATTCTTGAACTTGAATTTGAATATTACACAGTTCCATCTGGCAGGCTACAACAGTAGAACACTGTATAGAAATGTATAGTCAAAACAGTGCTGCCAAATGTACCAAAGGTCAGCTTTAATGGGCTGGACATTTTCAACAGAACACTTCAGAGTGTACTGCTGAGAGAGAAACTCTGCTGTCACTCATTCTGTGCCTTTAATCCAAGGTCTTTCCCAGTATGGAGTAAATGTCTGTAAAGAGCTAATATTTGTCTAAGCAGAATAACTAAACATGTTATTGAAATGTAGAAATTGTAAGTTTCACTATTCCTTGTCTTCTTTTTAGGTGAAGAAGATAATGATTTCTTAGGTGACGATGACATTGTAATACGAACTGAATTTCCAGAAAGCTGGCTGTGGCAAATGGAGGACTTGCCAATAGAACCTGTAAACAATGATGGGTACAGCAAATTTTCAAATGCATTACTACTCATGTACTCTACATATTTCTACACTGTATAGCAAGGGGTTGGTAATTTGTATGTAGGGCTCAATTTATGTTTACATAACCAAATGTTCCGGTTCCAGTCAAAAGGGAAAGCTAGCACGTTTGGCTGCCACTCCTCTCACCAGTTTTTCATTTTTTATCTACGTATTTATTCCTTTTTTTTTCTCAGCAACTCTGGTTTCTAATTATTTATTTGTATCCACTTCATGTTATCCGCTCCACATTGCAATTTACATATGTGACTTCCACTTGCATTGTGAAATTGCTCACCACCTGCTACTCTGGTTTTCCTTCCCATCTTGTTGCACCATCTTGGATTCATCGATCATGTCTCTGAGGTATACCGCACTGCAACTTCTTTAACTACAACAAAACTACTTTCTGGGAAAAGACACATTTGTTTATTGCCGCATTACTGGGATTTTACGACAGGATGCTGTTTCTTTCATTCGTCTGTCAGCGGAGTCTCTATCCCTACCTTTCTGCGCACGACCCTAAGTCCATCCCGTACAGGCACTGACCTAAAAAATCTTTTCTCACTGAGATCGCCAGATCAGTGCTACTCAATACCCGCTCCATAAACAACAAGGCTCTTCTTTTACGTGACATTATCAAAGAAAAAAAACTGGACCTTTTGTACTTAATAATAATTGCTTACACTTATAAAACACTTTTTTCTGGAAACTCCACTCAAAGCGCTTTACAGGTAATGGGGACTCCCCTCCACTACCACCACCAATGTGCAGCATCCACCTGGATGATGCAACAGCAGCCATAGTGCGCCAGAACGCTCACCATACATCAGCTATCAGTGGGGAGGAGAGCAGAGTAATGAAGCCAATTCATAGATTATTCAAAGGATTATTAGGAGGCCATGATTGGTAAGGGCCAATTTGAAATTTGGCCAGGACACCGCGGTTATACCACTGCTCTTTTTCGAGAAACGCCCTGGGATTTTTAATGACCACAGAGTCAGGACCTTGGTTTTACATCTCATCTGAAGGGCGCTGCCTGTTTTTACAGTATAGTGTCCCTATCACTATACTGGGGCATTAGGACCCACATGGACTGCAGGGTGAACACCCCCTGCTGGCCCCACTAACACCTCTTCCAGCAGTAACCTTTTTTCCCAGGAGGTCTCCCATCCAGTTACTGACCAGGCTCACACCTGCTTAGTTTCAGTGCGTGATCTCTCAGGCAGAGGTGGGGGCATCATTGTTATTTACAACCTTTTTTACAATTTAAGTCCTATTACTATACCTCCTCCATCTTCTTTTGAGTGCCTTGTTTTAAATGTCTCTATCCCCCAATCTACTATCATTGCCACAGTTTATAGACCACCCAAACCCAGAGAAGCCTTCTTATGTGAGTTTGCTGATTAACTCTCATTTATATGTCTTGTAGAGAAAACCGGTTCAGGGACGCCAAATAACGTAGATTATAGTGGCTCTCTGAAGGCACCAGTTCTGTAGGGTTTGGGCATTTACTGAGACAATTATTAATTGTAGCAGTAAAT